CCAACGAGTCGTATCCACGCCAACTCGCACGAGGGATACCTACAAATAAGGAAGATATATCAAATTGTTTGTATTAGCATTACTCGTACATACAGAGTGTTGTGATAAATAGTCTGCGTTACCATGCGTTTTTATTACGATTTACGGCCGATGATTGAGCAACGATGCCGGTTACAGGAGGATTTGGTTTATTCATATTAATTCTGCCCACCAGTTTCTATCAATCGGTGCCGACTTCAAGTCATTTGTATGCATAACGTTTATGTCGATAATGCATACATTTTCCTTACCTGTAAACATTATTTATTAACATGAAATGCACTTCATTTCAAATTGCTAAATAGGAAACTTTTGAACTTGCTTCCAATTTCAGTTTAAGTATCTCCTGATTGCAGTCGTGACACAAATATAAATACATATATACATAAATAGAATTAGAGAATCGATTTTGCAATTAAGGATGTATCGGGGGCGGCGATTATCGTCTTCGTTCTATTTTCAGACGGTACGATTTGTCATGTTGTTTTATTAATATGTGATGATACGTTGCGATGTGAAGAAATAAGATTGTGGTTGTTCTTTCAGTGGAAAACGACGATTTATCATCGGTTTAATAGATACTTATATTTATTGATTTTATTGAATCAATTTCTAGAAGAAGATATAAGAAACTAATAAGTTGAAGATGAATGTAATCATTTATTGTGCACACACCAGTGGCGGATTATGCTTCAGTGGGGCCCTAGGCGCAAATCAAGTTTGGGGCCCCTAAATCCGAAAATTTTCAAAACGGTTATTAGCCCAGTGAAATTAATAGTTTTAGCGTAGGGCGCCGCAAAGTCTACTTCAACATTCGTTTGTGCCAAAACTCATTTCCACACCACCATGAGGTAGAGTACGCGTTTTTTTATCGTGGTATCCCCAGCAGGCCTAATCCACACGCACTATTCCAAAATTTAATGGATTATCTTCCGATTCGCTCTTCGCGATGACCCGGTGTTGTGCGTTAATTGTTTTCAGAACCGATCGAAATATCACAGGTAAAATTTTCTGCCATACTATCCGCGATGGGATTATCGTTTTCAATGCTATCTTGGTTCTCGAGTTCATCGTACGTGTGCTCAAAACGGTAATCGTATTTAAATACAAATTACAAATTTACTTTTCTTGCATTCTCTTGGGCTTGAAATCTTTCAATAATTTTGTCGTACTCTAGTTTTTTAAAAAAATCATTTTCTATGAACATTAATGCGAAGTCATTTAAGTGCTCTTGTGAAAGACTATTGCGCAGATAGTTTTTGACTCGTTTTAAAACTGAAAATGTCCTTTCTCCACTTGCATTAGAAACGGGCAAGGTCAAAAAAATTTGCAGTATTGTGTGTATATTAGGAAAAGTTGATTTTAGACCATTACTTAATGTTGCATACATTTCATGTGGATCTCTAATATTTTCTTCTTGTATGTATTTTAGAAAATGAGTTAACTCATCAGTGAAATATTCTGGCTCAATATCTTTTCATACTTAGACAATAATCGCTCTACACAATTATTAGTCTCAACACGGCTTAATTTTAAATCAAAGAAAATTTTAAAATCGTTAAGAACATTGATATAGACATCGCCCCTTCGAGTAATTTCTGATGTTAATACATCACATACAATATAAAAAATGTTGACAATAAAAAAATTTCTTGACGAAAATGCTGTATCATTTTTGTTCGTTTCATCATATGGATATTTGCGTTTTCTTTGTCTCATTTAGCCTCCTCTTCAACAGTTTCGAAATTATTTCTGACCTCTGTTATAAATTCGTTTAATGATTTTAATAAACTAACACTATTAAGAATATTTGTCTTTGGTTCCTGAAAAGTTTGTTCCAGAAAATTGTTAACAGTGCCGTCTCAAATTGATCGAACTCTTTTGAACTCTGTTTTTTTTTAATCCAACTACCACCCCAAAAATCTAGATAAAAATTGTAGGAGGATAAACGTTGGTACAACGTGTTCCGCAGATGTAAAAAATGATAGAAAGACGAAATAATTAATATTCCAAAAAAGAGAGTTACCCGCTATTTTACAACCTCAATGGAATATTCCTCAACTCATCTCCTCCACAGATGTTCGAAATTTTAAACAAATGGCAATATACTACTCGCATTATAGCTACAACTTTCTAATGCAATATTCAAGAAAAGGTCACAAAAATTCGTGGCAGAAAACATCCAAATTTTATTTTAAACGTGACGGTTGCTTTGCGGACACGTGTGAAATGCCGTTTTGGGCGCCAAGCGAAAACCGATACGCTATTCATAAAGGCTGAGGTCAAAACCAACTGATGAAGTATTTGTGGAATTACTATGTCTATATGGGACATATAAGTGCCAGGGGCCCCTCAGGCAGCCAGGGCCCCAGGCAGCCGGGGCCCTAGGCGCGCGCCTAGTGCGCCTAGGCCGTAATCCGCCACTGGCTCACACTCCAGATTGAACGTTGGCATACTTTATGCGTAGTGATCAATACATGAAGAAATAAAGCGTCGGACTTTCTTTATTATGTTTGAGTTTATTGAATTATTAATTTTTTAGAAAACATATTGACTTATTTCTTATTTGCATTGCTTTATTGCGTCGTTTTGAGGCCAAGTTTATCGTGTGTATCTATTTTTAGAGCATTTTTTAATTATTTGGTATACTTTTCTTTTATATTTGCTTATTTCTTTATTATTCTGGATGCGTAGGAGTCAAAATAATCATCAGTGGCATTAATTAATATAATTTACTTTAATATTAATGATAAAATGAATTTTTAAATCATTATTTTATGGGTAACTGAACATTTGAGTGGTTGTGTAATTTCAGTTGCAGTTTTAACACCCGACACTAAAAATTACAAATATAACGTGGAAACAATTGCATATTGTATTTCATATACAACGCGACGACAATGAAGAACTCACAATTATTGTGCAAAGACAAAAGAATGAACAAAGTTGAAATTGAAAACGGAATTTCATCATTCAAAACTGGAGCAAACTTTATCGAACAAGTAATGTGTCGTTGTTAATTCATTTGTTACGCAATGAGAGTGCTCCATATACCTACACGTGGTGTAAATAACCGAAATAATTCTATTGTATTTTGTGGCATGATTGACGGCTTTTTACTAACACGCAGTCTGCCAAACACGCGTTTTTATGCGTCTGGGGATGGAAAAAGTTTGTTAATGACCGTTTTTACGATCATTAGATAACTAATTTTCTAATTTATCTTTATGATTGATGAAAATGTGCTGCTACAAGATAATTTAAAACTTAACAAATGAAAAGTATTTTTCTGGCGCTGCAAATATTTGGCAATTCTTTATCTTTACTCTTTTATTTTAAGTGTAGCGTCTTGTACGCTATAAATAATAGATTGTTTGGTGTATGCGATTTGTATTGACCGGCTGTTTGCCGGTATTAGTTCAATAGCAGTGGAAATACCGTAAGGCACACCATCCATGACTATTTGCGGTTCTTGGCTTCGAGATACAACATCAGTTCAAGACTTTGGTATAAACACACGTATAATCTTACTTGGCACGAATGGCGGCTGCATATTTTATAAATTGCTGTGTTGCCGTATTACGGGCATTGGTTTCAACAGCAGTAGTTCGATGTACAACACTGCAAGTCATAGAAAATTTAGTTGACATTCGTGCCAAGTGCGAGAAATTGAATTTTGTGCCAACAATTCGGCAATATTCAATAAAATAAAAGGATAATATTCAGAATAAGATTAAAAATTTTATTGTATTCATCTTAAAATAAAACATTTCCAAGAAATGAGGTCGAATGTTTTATGTCTAAAAGTTAAACTAAATTTTTGCAATTATAAATAATTAAGTGATTAAGTATCTGGTATTTTTATCGTGTCACAACATAGAATAATCTCTATTTTTATCTGTTTACTTGTCAAAAACAATTCAAACACTGTTTTTTGGCAAGGACTGAAATATTTAACATGAACGAACTTGAACTCGGATTAAGTAGTGCGACATACCCATGACATCCGATTTAGAAATGAAACCATTCATTATAATTATTAAACATCTATTTGTAAGCAACTGGGACATTCTGTAGAGACGTAAACGACGCTGAAGATTAATTATTCAGAATGCGGTGAAATGTCGCCAACGCTTATGACGGAACGCCAACACGATTTTGAGGTCACTATCAAGTTCATGCCAGCTTCTTTGGAGCAGACTGTGTGTGGGCGTTGGTCTCACTAAATCGACCATAATCCTGATTTTATACTTTAAGACTATAATTTCTCTTTTCTTTTCACAACAATTTTATGGCACCTACAAGAATAAACAGGACACTTTCAAGTCTTAAAATAGATGTCAAATTTTGCGGTGCTAATTTTGTTCTTGTATTTATAAAACACGTGGGCGACTAGAAAACATTTTAGTTTGTTTATTTAGTAATTTACATTGAATTTCGGAAACAACAAGTGTTTTTGTTCCATTTCAACAATTTGCTGTTTAATTACTTGATATTGAAAGTATAATATTTCTAAAATTATGGAATTAAATGTTGAAATTATAATTTACACATGAACGTAAAGCGTGCAAACGCACTTACTTCATTATCTTATCTACAAGGCGTAACCATCATGCGAAGTAGATTTTTTTTCGGTTTCGGATGCATAATTCCAGTCTGGTGTTTAATACAATCGTTACGAATCACGCTTTGTTGCTCCTGGCTACGCCACTTTACTTTTAGGCAGTGCGAGGTATTTCCTAATTCGGTTGAAGTTCACTAAGCAAGACAAACATTGTTCTGCTATATTGCCCTTGCTATATGTAGAATGGAGTGGAGTATCTTGCATGCGTAGCAGGTGTAATTAAGTAAATTGTTCAGTGTGGAGCAACGCTAGCTTTGTAATAAATACCAGCAATATGCGCAAATATTACATCATATTTCTTGCGGATGAAGTAACAATAGTTTCTTTTTTGTTACAGAAGGAACACATGGACATATCATCCGTACCATCGTCCTTTTGAGGAACTAAACTACAACGATTTCGAATAAACGTGTGCGATGACACATCAAGTGACTGTGTGCGCCAAGCTTAAATCAATTGTAACAAATCTAAGAAACTTTCCTTGTAAAACAATGTGAATGGTGTCATAGAACCCTCCTTTCCTTCAACGGTGATCTGGCCGTCTATTGATTCTAAATAGTCTCTAAAAATTCCAAATAAACGCAAGTGTCTCTAAATGGGTGCCAACATGGCCAAGAATACGTCCCTCTTGGACGCGCTGCCGTCCGGCCAAGGAACGCTGCACGTCGTCATGCTTGGCCTTGACTCGGCCGGCAAGACGACAGCACTGTACCGACTCAAATTCGACCAGTATCTCAACACCGTGCCGACGATAGGCTTCAACTGCGAGAAAGTAAAAGGGATGATCGGCAAGGCGAAAGGTATAAATTTCCTCGTCTGGGATGTGGGTGGGCAGGAGAAATTGCGTCCGCTGTGGAAGTCGTACACACGATGCACCGATGGTATCGTCTTTGTGCTGGACAGCGTCGACGTGGAGCGCATGGAGGAGGCGAAAATGGAACTGATACGCACCGTTAAGTCGCCGGAGAATTCGGGCGTGCCGATTTTGGTGCTCGCCAATAAACAAGATCTGCCTTCGGCGCGCGAACCCTGTGACCTGGAGAAACTGCTGGGGTTGACGGAGTTGGGCGGTGGTAGTTCTGGACATTTGTGGCACGTGCAGCCGGCGTGTGCGATCACCGGCGACGGCTTGCACGAAGGACTCGAAGTGTTGTATGAAATGATTCTCAAGAGACGGAAACTCGCGAAAATGACGAAGAAGAAAACTAGGTAAGAGTTTTAGGCATGCATGCTAAGTTGGAAACCAAATCAGGCTTAATTTATTGATTATGCATTAATTTAATGTAATCGAAACTTGCTGAAAGTTTCAAGTCACAAAATAAATTATTTTAATTTCGAAATTTTAAATGTTTTTCATACAATTCATAAATTCATTATGTTATTTTATGTTTGTTTTATACATTTCATGTAAAATCATCAAAATTAATTATTCATCAAATGGAACGTGAATGCGTTTGTGTCTCATGTTAGCTTTTTATTGTGTGCATTGCAGTTTTACCGCCTAATTCATCACCCATCAAGTCCTGCAAAATAACAACAGACAACCAATCAATATCAGCAAACATCAACAATTAATACGCACGCAATTCAATACGCACCACAATGTTGCAGCACATGATATCGACGGTTTAAATTTAAAACTCAAACAAAGAAAAGAAAAAAAAACAACGCAGAAAATAAAAACTCAAATTATTGTGCTTTCAAATTTTTATACGGACAATGAAAATGACAAAAGAACATCATTTATATATATTGCTCACTAGACGTGTACACGTGTAATTGTTAAAGATGCTTTACGAAGTAAGGCGACGTTAAATGTGTATCAACTCAATGTTTTTGCGAGAAGTACCATCCGTGATGACGTTTTCGATTTCAATTTGAATTGAGAATATCTAAATATTAACAAAATTTTACGATAAAATATTTATAATATTTTATTAAGATCGATATAGCATAAAAATATATAACAACTATAAATTAATCACCGTTGATTAATTAATTAGTCCATGATTGATAGTCACGATGAATTGAACAGTTTCATTCGTATTATCTATCTGTGAGCATGCACGATGAACACTAATGAGGTGCTTTAAGTGTATTACTTTTTGCTTGATTTTTGATATGATTAGCGAATAGATGAAATGCAGCAAACGGGCAAATACATTATACATTTGTAATTTGCACTAATCACAGCACTAATTGATGATTTCATGCTATAAATCGAATCGAACCGAAATTCACACACAAAACCATGTGATATTAATCAATTGAAATTTCAATGTTTTGATGTAAATAATGTAAAATATGCACGAAGCACACACATCTCTTGGAATCAATCGTAAATTAATCCGTAATTAAATCCATTGTTGAGTGTATAATCCACATTTTAAAAGTCTGATTTAAGTCGCGTTCGACTTTAAACATAATCTGTTTTTTATTGTTACGATTCTTGTTGCTGAAATTTGAAAGTAGGAAGTTTGAGAAGTGTACATATACGTAATTTGACAAATGAAAAGTAAATCCATTGTTAATGTGCATCTATTACTTATTATTAGCTGTTGCACTCACTGAAGATGATGGGATTTGAAAGCGACAGAAAAACAACGAGAAGCCGAGTAATTGTCGTTGATTCGCCAAAATTTAATCCACCCTACAAGAGACACGCACGAACAGTATTGATAGAGCCCCTCAATTGCCGACCATCTATTTATCTTATCGTAAAACGTGAAAAACGCCTTAGTTCATTATTGTATTCTTCATATAATGAACACCAAATCGTGTAAGCCGTACCGTACGCCAAGTCATAGCATTGTGTGTATTGTAGATCGAAAGATCGAAAGTGAAATCGTGTAATCTCTCTCAGTCATTTCTCACAATGCGATCGCCGTAATGTAACACGAATAGAAAGAATGTTGTGGTGGAAATTGCGCTCGAAGCACGCCGATGAACAAAGGTCATGCCCACGAAGAAAAAACAATAATTAATAGACTAAGACCTGCTAAGACTGAAGAACGAAGAGTGGATGACACGTCGGGCGAGTGCTCGAGCTCTGGAGAAGAATGAAAGTTCTCTCGGTGTAACGTGCGAACGTTTCGTAAGCTATTCTCATCGAACCAATAATTACTAAGAACAATAAAAGTGACACGGTGTTACAATTAAATTGATGATGATGTAGTGAGTGTGTGCTTTGCCAGCTTGTTTTCGAGATGAATGCATCGTGCGAAATCGTAATTGAATTCAATTGCATTGTAGTGCAGTGGAAATTTAAACGAGAAAATGTCCGATAATGAAAATTATTTCTCTAGAAACAGTTTTGATTGGTAGTAAAATTTTCTTCTGATGAATAATATCTATGTAGGTACATATTAATATAGAACACAAGAAAAGATTTTTTATTGGTTGTTTGAATATTTTGTGTTATTGTAGTCATACTCACTGGGGATGGAACCAAAGGATGTGATTGCTCAACGTATATGTTATAGAAAATACAATACCGAGAATGAAGGAGTAAGAATTTGTCATATTTTGATTTCTAATCAGTTTTTAACAGATACAGTGTATTGTATATTCTACTATGACGAAAAAATAGAAGAATGAAAGATATTTTAGGATATTATGAGTTGGGTTTTAAGAGTAATTGTTTATTTTGTCGTTAAACATGTATCTATTCAGTTCCATGCTATGTCATATAATTTAATTATTATCTTCGCAGTTTTATTATCGTTTTATTTTATTTTATTGTTTGCACGTTCACAGCATACGTACCTAGCGATATTATTTAGTAATCATAATTATTATTCCTTTGTGTCTGTTGTAAGTTGCAAATACTATTTTTTTATTTTATAAAAAGCAACCAGAGCAACACAATTAATAATAAGTTTCTTTACCAGAACCAAAGGTGCTCATCATGTTTTAATTTCTATTGCAAATTCTGTCATGTTAACTATTTTGATTTGATTTCATTCCTTTCATTTTTTATTATTATATAATGAGCAATTGTATCATTAGTTTAGTTTATTTTAGCGATTAAGATAATTGCGGGTGATATTTAATAACTAATTTGATTACAGATTAATTTGTGTTTGAGTTTTTGTTCGTATGGACTGTGAATGAATGTAATTTAAAAGGGAATAGAATTATAACGACTCTTTGATTTGGTCCATTGCCAAAAGCAGCTGAAATTGTCATTTGTTATAAGAGCAACTAAAATAGATTGGTAAATATTTATTATTAAACGAACTATGAGTGTAGTTTTACCAAAGGGTAAAATTCGGAGCGGAGCGGAATTATAAAGAGTATTGTAGTCAATTGGTTAACGAAACGTGCAAGTGCTAAAGTAGACGTTTGCGACTGTATATTGATGATTATATTGCAACAAATATTCGAATAGTTATCTATATGTTTACTCTGTCAGTCACAACACAACTATGATCAACATGTACGTAGCGATGCACTAATTTATCCGAATGTCGAATCAATCGCATTCAGCGTTCATTTATTCGAAAAAATATGAATGATTGCTTGCAATTGAGACTTGTAAATTGTGTTTGGTTTGTTTTGAGTTGGATAATGGAGGGACGATAAGATATTACCAATTACTATTGTTTTCTAAAATGTGACAATGAAAGAAAATCAGAATATAACAAATATTATATGATATATATTACAAAAAATATTATATGTACATTGAATAAAATGAATTATTGTTTTCTTTATATAAAACTATTTGTTGTATTATTATTGCTGTTATTGTGTATTTATTACTTGTATTTACAGTAATGACATCATTTTGGGTAAGTAATTTCGTTTTATTATGTTAATTTATATGATAAATACGAATCTGAGTTTGTTTGTTTTGTTTTCACATCAAAACTCCTCTACAAATATTAATAAATTTTGTTATAGAGATATTTTTGATCTGGGAAAAGCAAATAGGATAGTTTTTATTGCAAAAATATAATTTTAAGGGTGTAAAATAAGGGATGAAAGTTGGAATGAAGAATCAATCATAGATATAGCTATATAATTCAACTCGGGCCTGCTCTGAAGTGCATTATTAGCATTTCTCTTTTCTTCAATTTAAAATCGAGAATTTTATTGCCGAAGCCGGCTAATACCTAATAAGTTCAAGAAACAAGAAAGTAATTAGTTATGCTACTTTGTATTAAAACCTACGCGGACAAAAGCTATTTTATTTATAATTACGATATTCTGAATAAAAATATTTAATAACTAGAAATGGCAGAAATTAATTTAAATTTGTTAATTAATTTCAACTTGTAGCTATTCATAATAATATACTGCACATACGTGTGTAATGTATGTTAATGCTAATTTAACTATTGTTAGAACATTTTATTGCTATATTAAACGCTTTCAATTCAGCGAATAAATTTGCATTTATATTCTATTAAACTATTCTTACAGCGAGCTGTGCTTTCAACGAGCACAAGGCGTCATCATCTGACAATAGATTAATTAACATTAAAGTTACTGACCCAACCGAATGAATTTAAATTTACAAGCAACTTTTCATGTTCGCACTGAGTTATGAAAAGTTCCTGACGAAGATTGAACAATATTTCAATTAGAATTCAACAACGCATTCAATAAGTCACTGTGGACAAGCACGTCGTCAAAACTTCGAGTTCACTTTCTTCGTGCGTTTATCCATCAAGCACTGAATCATTGCGAGCGGCGTTCGTGCGTAACTCGTTAACATCTTTTCCATTTCTGAATTATTTCAATTAGAACAATACTGTGCCGCGCTGGCCAGCAGACGAAACAAACTGTAAATTGTACTCGTACGTAAGTATGCGCTGCACTTTTTCTAGCTGCTGGACATGTGTTAGTTGCTGCTGGATGAATCATACGAATATGAATTGCAAGATGAATTCGGATGGCAGCTGCAAGATTGACTTTCTGTCATGATTTCTTGAAAATGTGAAGAATTACTTTGTCATTCAAATGCTGAACGCAGAATGTTGTTTGTCTAACGATGGAATGTCGGGAGTGATGGATAAAAAATCGGCTAGACGCATAAAAAATTTAAATCAGAATTATGAATATACATGCGGCATAACGAAATAAATTACATTCCAAATTCTTTTGGGTTAAAAGTAATTCTATTATTTATTGATTGTGATAAATATTTTAAATGATTTTTTATTTGTATTCAAAAGAGTTTGTTGTTTCTTTTTGAATTCAAAGAAACTGCATCGTTGAGCAGATGGCAACAGTTTTACATTCACAAGAAGACCTTACAAATAGTGTCTCCGGATGTGACTGTAACACATTCGCATTTATACTATAAAGGACTAACCTTACACATCAGCACATGTTACAGTCGATTTCAATTATTCAAACATCACTTGCACAATCTATGACAAAGTGCAATACAATAAATCTCTGCAGACATGTTGCAAAACATTAACTTTTGCTCATGACGTAAGTTTTTTCTAAAGTAAAAAATATATGTTTCTGTTTGTTAAGATTTTTTACTTTTAAACTCCTAAACTAAACAATTTGTAGCAAGCATTGTGGAATTCGGTAGATGTTATAAAACATCATTATAACTGCAATAGCGCCCAGCTAAAGCAATTGTCCACGTTCCATCATGGCTTCTACGCTGACGTAACTAGACAAAGTATAGCACGTAGCAACGACGATCTTATCCCGGCGGATCTGATGCCTGGAGGCATCAACAAAACTTATCTCTCGTCTAGCCTTCCAGCTTCTTGGAAAGTGCACAAACTCAACGCTACAATCGCACCTTGCGAGTACCCACCGCCTGTCTTTATACAATGATATAGGTAAGGCCATTTTGTATTATGTATCGTGGAAGTATCTTGTGTGCCGTTCGTTTTGACACGGCTTCTCACCAATCATAACTATGTTTTGTTTTATTGGATGTTCCTGCAATACTAACAGTTTATATTTTTATTTCTAGCAGAAAATATAGGGTGAGGGTTCTAAATATAACACTCGGAATGAAATGAGAAAGTTAATGATATTTAGAGTAAAATATTGCAGGAAGCAGACAAGTTTCAAACTGTTGATTATACAGATGTTACACACGTGTTTTCTCCGATGCACCGATTGCAATGCAGGGATTTCTCAAAATAAATAAATAATCAAATGTTTATTACGAGTAGTAGATCAATTTATTTATGAATTACCATGTGTTTTGTATCGAAATGAAGGAAAAGCTTCAGTTACTTCATTGTAAATGTACCAAAATTTATTTTTGTCGGCATTGTGTATAATCGTGAGGTGTGGTTCCTTTATACTCACTAGTATTATACTTAACGCTCACAAAAATGAATCAAAATGAAAAAGTAATAATGCCAAACCCTTCCGCCTGGCAAGTTCACGCTCGGTTTGCAATGCAATTCAAACACTATAAATAGCACGTTCTGCTTTCACGCTCAACGTTTCAATTTTGGAGTTTATAGAAAATTTTGTTAGTCATGTATTTTCCTGCTTATAAATCTATTTTAGGTACACAAATCACATTTCTACGATATAATCGAAACAAGTTTTTGTATGCTTTGAAACTACTAGTAGATAAGCGTAAATCTCATTAAATTGCTGTTATCAGGTGTGAATCATACCAATATTTGGTTTTTTAATCTATTATATTGGTAAATCACGTTTACCGTGTGTCACTTTTATTATTTTTATATTTTTATTCCAAAAATACTAAAAATACCTTCAAGTTATCCTATTAATTATACAATACAAGGTTTTTATGCTCAAAGAAACGTTCAAGAACATTAGACACCACCGTGGCCTGAAACATTAACGGTAACGTTGGTAAACCAAAACACGCCGACGACGCAGCTCCTGAAGTTTCAGTTGAAAACCAACTACAACAGCAATTTCCACGATATTCCGCAGCAAAACCTAAAACTAGGGGAGCTTTTGTGAGCATTTTCCTTACGTGATACAGAATGTTACAAAACTTTCATATTAATGGCATGGCACATAGATGGCTTCAACTCACAGCCATCAACATGTGGTATACTCGTAGTACGTAGTTGCTATTCTGAAAATATCACATGACTCGGTAAAAAGGGAAACAAAGTGCACTTTTAATGACTCGTTGGATGCAGGCGGCGGTGCTGTTGGTGCTAGACGTTGACACTGGAACATGGTAAACGCACTGAAATAGAAGAGCAAAATGCAAATGGCGATACCATTTGCGCACAACAGCGTGGGCAGTGCATTAATATGTAACTGCAGTCATTTTTTCAGTTCCTTTGTTTTACTATATTACGGCGTGATATAATACGCCTGAAAATGTGGATAATTTAGGTTTCACTCGGGAAATTATTATTTGTTATGCAGATTAATTGTTTTCATTACTACAACATGAGGCAATCGGGTAAAATGATTCTAATAAATTTATAATCTCTTTTTCAATCGATATAATGAACTATTCTAGGCGTCAGAGTCATTTGCATATAATTTATTTATAAATGCTTCCATTTGGTGCTGAAAACTATTTTCTGATCTCTTGAATTTTACTGCATAGTTTAGATTTCTTTTTATATACGTAATATTTAAGCACTATAATAAAATATTAAAATTGTAAGCGTTTGAAATGTCTGAAGAGAATTTCCACTTTGTTGGTATGTGCTGCGCTTGCGAAATTTGCGAACGAATGAAAAACTGAAGCGATCCGATGTGTGTGTATACGGTATTGATCGCGCTGGGTGGCAAGAGCCGCGAAAGACTACCATTCACGCGCCAACAGCCACGCCGCCTCCACCGCCGCTGTATGAGAATGGTTTGAGCGTCCCGCGCTTTTCCGCGGAGCATAAAGGATGTATGGATAATACTGTCTTTCTCTCACATATATACACATCTCCAAAAGTTGTGATATAACTGGGTTAGTGTATTTCCGTTCAACAGCACTTGATATCCAATTTGTATACAAAGAAAAAAATTGACAAATATCAGAATTACACAAAATATAAAGAATTTATTTATTTTCTTTGGTGATAATTAAATAATTAATTTTACGTGGAAATCATTTAATTTCTATATAATTTTCAGATTCGTTGCGGTCACGCCGATATGCAGCGTGAGTTAACAATTATTTGAAAACAAAATTAATTGACGTTCACGAGAAAGGCACGCGGGATGGTTGGATTTCGTATCTAACGCAAGAAGCGCTTTTCAACTTGGGTGGTCCATCAATTTCTACGATGCGCGCTAGAACGCGTGGATAGTGGTTGCAAGCATAATTTATAACACAGCACATGTATCATCTATTAATGCTCGGGGTTTATGGCGACATATAATATGAAATATGACGTTTTGAATTAAAATTCCTAAATAAAATTTATTGTTGGATGTCGTATAAATATTTGGTTGTCGTCTGTAGACCGATAACATGTATATTTACAAATTGCGAATGTCACATGTGCAAAAGACGTAAAATTTCATTCGTATTGATTTAAAATTTAATTAACCCAAAAAGGTTCGTACTAATGGCAAGCATATACTGTAATTATGATTATTATTATCTCCAGGTGGCTGTAAAATTATTGAGGTGTTTTTATTTGCTGCTGAATTAATTTGCATGAATTAAATCAACAGAAATTTCAGTAGTGAATTAATTATCTGACTTGTTTGCCGCATTTGTGAGTTTGCGGGGTCAAATTAGTTATTCCCTTCAGGAATTTGGAAACCATGGATATTTCATTGATCAAACAACATCTGATTGCATATATAGAACGAGGTATGAATTTAGTAATTCGTCGCAGTATACGTCGGCAGGTTCAACGTTAAAACAAAATATAAAAACAAGTCAAAATCAATTTGGCAATTAAATTGTCAATCAAAATATTTTTTCATAACTTTTTTTGACAAGTTATACAATCATTTATATTCTTTTATATCTTTTATTCCCATTTATATATATTTTTAATTTATATAGCAATGTCGTCAAAACACAAACGAATCCCAACAACTTATCGAAGATCTACAGCGGTTTTTGCGAATTCTTCAACTACTGATTCAATGGCAATACATCCACCTAACAAGTTGCGAAAAACGAAAATAAAGAGCACTGGTCCAAAGACACCAATCATTCGACCAAAAACCATTCTGGAAAGGATTTTTGGTTCCAAAAAGTTTGTTAAAGATCATTACTTCTCATCTGGAACAAAAATTAATGAGAGCAATGTGAGGGATCTAGTTAAAGAGGCGTCGCCCTTTAAATATCCCGATGATTTGGATGTGTTTTCGTACAAATTAATGGCTAAGACTTGGTTATCATCAAATCGTACCAAGGAAATGAACCTAAAGTATAATGAGCGGTCAAACTACACGGTACGACAAAGTAAAGATGTCCTCAATCGACTGTTTGTGGAGTCCGCAAATGTGAAATGCAATACAACTATTTTGGATATTGATCCGGAGTTTTATTCAATTGTGAGTGGACGTCCAATCACCGTGAAATTCAATTTGCAAGAGTACATGAACACAGCAAGGGATATTTTACGGACCAAAATCGTCACTGGTTATCGTATGGATGACGCATTACTAATTGAAGAAAACTTATTGGAAGAACAAAATATGATTGAAGAAATCACTACGCAATACATGCTGTATTTATCGTCTTTTGAAGAATATTTAGCAAAAGATCACGAAACTTCTATGGAGTTGTTAAGAGCAAGCGAATCTGAAGGTAATGTTTTTGTTATATTATTAAAATCAATAATAAACTAATCTATTGTTATTATTTTAGGAAATAAATCCTATGAAAAATACGAGGCATATCGAGACGTTGCTAAAGAACTTGGCTTGTTAAAAAGTCAAGTCTCAAATCTGGAAGAAAAATGGCGCAATGCAAAAACATATCAAAAGTTTCTCTACATGGTGAGTCCGATGTACTGGCGCAAACAATTCGACTTTTATCACATGGCCCCAAAAAGGAAGACGACCAGGAAATCGAGATCATTGATTCTTTAGTGGAGCTTGAACAAACAACGGCTGCTATTGAATACCGTTCGCTGGATAATATTATTCGAGACTTTCTGAAGGATTACGAACATCCAGAGGAGCCACTTTTATTTTTTAATGAACCCAGCGAATTGAATAAAATATTTCGTTTCATTGAACTGCAAAATCTCAACTCTCTACTGCACTCAGAGGAGTTGGCAGTTCCACTAGACACTCTTCGAGAAAATATGGCTGCCACCAAAGCCGAATCCAATAAACAAATTGCGGATTTAAAGGAGATCACTAGTAATCTTGAGGGTGAGATTGTATGGGAAGAGGAACGTGCCATCACACTGGAGGCACTTGCTCGTGAGTTGATCAATGGCGAGTTTCGACGATTGATCTGTGACGGGAGTATTTTGAATCTGCTTGTAATGGTCGAAGACGTGTACGAGGCACGCGTCGCAGCCAATGATGCCAATCTTTCAGCGTACGAAATGATGAAAGCTGTCGAGATCAAGTATCGCGAGCATTTGTTGAAGTTGGATTATATGCCTTATGATAAGGTACACAAGGCGGAGATGGAGTGTTATGCTGAACAGGCAAAAATAATGAAGGTTGCCGAGGACGCGTCTCGGAAGGTGGTGCAAATTGATCGACTTGTTAAACGTCTGAGGAGAATATTGGAACCTCCGGCAGAACATCGTACTAGAGGTAAACAAAGACGTAATTTGAAAATGATCGTTGTACACATAGTTTATTTTATATTGTTTTTAGGTGTGAAGAAGAGGTCTATGTTACACCGTCCGCAGTTGCATGAAATTCATATGGATCAGCCAATTACTGCTGAGGAAGCGGAGTATTTTTATCTTTTTACTGATTTTTGTGAAGGAACTGATAATATCAAGGAATACAGAGAGATTAGACAAAAGGAGCAGGAGATTGAGGAACAAGTAAGATTAATAAAATAATTTATATCATACAAATGGAGTTTTAATTGTTTTTAGTTATTATTGGAACAAAAAATGCAAGTTGCATTTGATGCGGATGAAGCAGCATTGGTCGATTTGAATCTGAAATAATTTCTTCCCCATCTGATTAATCTTTTGCAGTGAAAAGGTTGTTAGGTATTTTGCAACATATTGATAAATTATTTGCGTGTTTTATAAATCTTAAACCACCAACCTACGGGTAATTAGTTACGATGTTGAATGAGCACTCAATAGGAAATGTGAATTGGTAAATTAAACAGCATTAAATGTTCACAAACCATTTGAACAAAGGAGCGGATTTCCGGATACTGGATGGTGTAGCGACAATCGTTAATGCGGAACCATGCGGCAAGCATTAACCAAAACAGGAAAACAGAGCTGATTGTTTCGATAGTAATCACAACATCACAGTATTTGATCAGATATTGATTGTTATGTAAAGGAATATTTGACAAAGTTGTGTGATTAATATCTAAACAATTATTCATATTTTCTGTTTTTAAATTTGTTGGACTGGAAACTGGAGCTGCTTACGGTTTACCATTTTATTATGCTAGTTAAAGGGATCCGAAACCTTTGGATTGATTGATGAAATTTAGTGTGTGTATTGTTATATTATAGCTTAACAAAACCTTCATATTGTTTATTTCATTTACACTCTTAATCCATTATGAAGACCTTCAAATGCCCATCAGAAATTGCTAGTTTTAAACTTTCCATATTAATTCTGGAAAATATAAGAGTTCTTAAATCCCCTGCAATAAAAGTACCTTTTTTATTGTTTATTTTCGCGTTATTAATGAAGATAATTAGCTTAAAAGATTTTTTTGTGGCCAAATAACATAAAACCTCTGTCGCCTTTCCAGTTTCTAAACTCTTGCTACTAGCAATTCCTTTATGTAAACTCAGATGTCGCTAGCATACACTGTTTGGATTTAAGAACATAAATAATGAGTTGTTTTGGGTGCACGAGTTATCAACCGTGTGAACGGAGCGTATGTATTTGCATTTCAGGTATTTACACAAAAGTATATAGAAATATTGGTGTAAGACAAATAAAGTAACAATAACATAGAGAAAAACCCATTAAGTCTACATCGGGGGCGTAGCTCAGATGGTAGAGCGCTCGCTTAGCATGCGAGAGGTACCGGGATCGATACCCGGCGCCTCCAAGATTGTTTTTCTTCCCTCTACATTTTTATTTTTTGTATTTAATTGTGGTTTACACTGTGTGTTGTTTCTAATATTTTATTTTCTTTCTTCTTCATATACATATCTGCCTGTTCTCTCAATTGTTTAATTTTTCTTGTTGTTAAAGGAGGAATTAATTAAAAAAAATAATTGGTAAAATTACTTAAATAAATAGTCGTTTCATACCAACACGACCAGGTAATAAATTGTAAATAAACATTTATAATTCACGTACAATACTAACAATATTATTGTATAACAGCAAAAACAACACAAATAAACTCCCGATCACCTACGAAATTGAATTGTAACTGAACAATTCCGCATTGCTGATTATTATTATTGATAATTCTATTGTTACTTCTACACAAAGAAACAAAGAAATTTAAAAATATACTTGTTTGAAATTCAATATGTCCCGTAATTGCTCTTTTGCCAATTATCAAAGACACAAAATGAAATTACTTATGTTGTCATGTCGTAAACAGCGTATTTGTTGCATTATTTTATTTTCTGTACTTGTTATTATCCAATAAGCAGTAAATTTTAGTAGGAAGCTTTAATTACTGTTAAACGTAGCTTAATAGAGCCTAATTATAAATCATATTAATTAGAAACAACGAAATTGCTCAAGAACACATTTCTCTCATTGTGTCCACACACGCAAAACGTTTGTTGGGTAATCGAATACAAATTACAAAAGGAAAAACGGCGCAAACTAGAAAATTCTTATTGCCACTAAATGAGAAACAATGAATGTTTGAAGCAATAACTGTGATTTATTCCATGTACAAATGAATGGTGAACAATGAAATTCAATTTGTCTTGTTATGTAGTAGCATCATATCAAGAAAATGCAAAAAAATGCAAAAATATTTGCATACTTACTTATTTTACATATGCTTCAAGTTTTTTATGACTTAATTATATATTTTTAATTTGTCTAAGCTAAAGACTAAAGACCTATTGATACAAATATATTTTCTGAACATTTTCCCGGTTAAAAATATAATTATCATATTCAAATAGCAATTTCTCTTTTATATTGATAAATTCTCCTGCATTTAATAAATAGTTTAAAGTCATACTATGATATAAATAATGTACATAACCAGCACAGTCCATGACTTTCATCTACAACACGCTTTTCTCTTCAATTCACATTAACGCCTTTCATACGTGAACTCAATGCACTTCAAGTTGCACTCTCGGCGCCAACCAATGCAAAACGGAAGAACAAATCAAAGTCAAAAATTAATTAGATGCTTAAATGTTGCAACAAAATAAAATATAGCACAAGCATTGTTGTTTGTAAACGATTGGTAGGTTTAGTTTAGTTGTAGTTTGCATATGATGCGTCATTTAGTAATTTCCTTTTCTTGTTTTGAAATTCACCCAAATCAAAAACGGACGCAATGAGTCTCTCACTATTTAAAGCACCACTGGCACCGGTACTTTTCATCACAATTGCATTTCAAGTGAACACATAAAGTGAAATTATGTCTTGCTAAACTCATACTTGTCAGTCACTCACTTTCGTACTTCGAGAAGATCTAGACTACTATGAGTAACATGCTCTCGTTGTAAAATTAAACTTAAGGTTAACTGTATATTTAAATAAACTTGTTTACAACAGCTATATAAACAAATATTTACATCGTAAACATTTATATTTTTATATAAAAATAAATTTTCTCTAAACGTGCGAAGATGAACTTGAGATCTATTGACGATTTTTAGTTACAGTAAGAAGTAAATAATTGCTGATTATCGATGTGTTTTTAGGAAGTAAAAAGAGAAACCCACTTTTAATAGTCCTATCAAGTAGAAAATTGTATTAATTACGTATAATTAATGAAGATACAGCAAATCTTTGATAATAACATACAATTATCAACTCTTCTTATATTCTCGGATGATTTCTTAGTGTTTTGTTCTACGAATGATCTAAGTAACTAGCAAGTGTAAAGAGAACAATGCGTTACCTGCGTTACGACAACGTTCATCATAATATGTTAAACTCATCTTACTTAACACTGATTACTGAACAACATCGCTCAAAATATTGTGAATTGGGAGTTGTTGCATGAAGCATAAAAAGAAAAACTTGAAAAAAATGTAATTTTTTGCTTGTAAGAGAATCAAACTACAAAATAGACATTTGTGGACTTATTATGTGAAATATATTTTAAAAAATGAGAAAATTCGACACTTAAGAGTCATAATTAACAATATTTTGGTAGTTATATACATAATAACATGTGCTAATGAATGTGTTAATTGTTAAACTTAACAACAATTAAGCACTGACTATTTAGCCACTTCCTATGCCCTTGCATAATGAAATTAAAAGAAAAGATGAGAAGTGTAAAGTTGTTGGCGTCTTTTTTCATAATATTATAAAACCATGTACATGTGTGTTTTGTGTATGTGCTTCTTTCCCTCCACATTAATATCTTATTTTCTGAACTGTTGAGTGGGCCGAAGTTTAAGTTTCGCAGTAGTGGGAAAAGAAAGGTAAAAGCAAGCGTCGTTGAGCTGCTACAGAACAAAACCGCGCCGCCTGCCATCGAATGACAAGCAATCCGTTCGTTAGTGCTTGAAAACAAATTTAAACTTAATTGAAACCGCGTTCAAATCGTACACACACACAAAAATAAACGCAAAAACGCGCTGGTTATTCACAAAAGCGCGCGCGCGTGCTAAATGCTACAGACGTAAGAAGAAACATAAGAAGAAAAGCGATCTGCAGAGTAAGCGAAAAAGTACAGTGAGAGTTTCACATACTCATACACACGCTCTGTTTAATTATAACAATAAAGTCATCAACACACTCGATAGAAACGCATTTTGTGCCAACAATCGTGACCATAACAATCGCCGCAATTGAAAAAAGCATGCACGCCGTCTCGTGAATTTAATTGATGACTAAGTAATTGGCAGTCAAGCAGCCATCCAAAGTGAAAATTGGAAAAAAAGTTTGACGCTCGAGTTGCGTTCGCGCGTCCTGATAAAGCAATTAGTTTAATTTAGTTTAAAACGTTCGTGCTACCGACGTCAGTTAATAAAAATATGTATTTGACAAGTTGGATGTTGTTTTTGCTCGCCTTGAGTCGAACGGACTTTGTCGTCGGGATTCTTGCTGAAGACACAGCGACAATTACAGAAGACGATGGTGAGTACAGATAAAACAATCTAGAAACATTAAAGTAAGTGCAGTGTTAATATTTTCATAGTTTGCGTGCATTATTTAAATGTAATTGCAGTTTTATTTCTGTTGAAAGTGCTACGAATGTTTGAGAATTTTACAAATTTAGGACACGGAAAATTGCTGCTTGTAGCTTGTTAAATTCTGCGGCAGCCGTTCGTGATGTATGTTTTGTTATGCTCTTTTCTACTTAAGCAGCTAAGCACTATTATTATGTATAAAAACTATATGGTAAAAAAACAACTTTTTGTCGCATCAGGTCTGATGGCTATTGTTCTTGATTATTGATCCATTTTGTGGCGTTTCTTTCAACTCATTGAAACATTTGCTTTGGTTGCCGGCAAAAGACATATTTAATTTAAATATGCATTGTTTTATATAACAGACTGCGTTGCCGGAATAAAAATTAATGATTTATTATTTTTGCGCGTCGTTTTCGCTGCTGCACTTCCGCTTCATCTTTTGATATACTTTGTCGCAGAATAATAGAGTTTCACATGTCCTCAATCGATAAATAATGCAACTATTCATCCGAGCCTTGTTAAAGCCACTAACTTGCTAGAAATAGACTTTAACCTTGTCGCGATGGTTTATTGTGCACCTCGTGCAGAAAGTAGGTTTTTGTAGGCAGAGACAAATGTTGTCAACTTATCACTCCACGAAAAATCACGTGAATCTATCACGTGATTAAAACCATGCGAATTTCACCTTTCTCATTGTATGTAAAAAGTGTTTGAATGAAACTTATTTTTCGGTGATGTGTAGTTGAAAAGAATAAACGATTCAGGCTAGAATTCTCTAATTTATAGTGTTCGCATGGTTTCACCTGTTCGCCCAATGCGTTGGTTTCGAATTATTACTTTTGTCGGATCTTCGCTAATTGTAGAGTAGAGCAAAGAATGAAAATAAAGAAATTTCGCAAATCTTTCTATGTATGCAATCTACGCATTGTTCGCAGATACGTTGCGAACTGTTTGCAAATTGAGAAGATTGTTTTCTCGATTGGCCTGATAGTTTTTGGTGTAGTTTTGCATTCAATTCAAATTCATACAATTTTTTGGCATTAGATCTAGAGCATACATTTGTGTGAATAACCTTTAGAATAAATTTACTAATAGTATCGAACTATTTCAACAACAAAAAACAAAAAAGTACTGAGAAATATTTATTAATGTGTCCTTGATTCCGAAATTATGAAAAGCAAAGAAATAAGTTACTCATCCGTAAGAAATAGTAGTATTTTTGAGTTATTAAGTAAAACTGTAGTTTTTATATAACTAGATGCTTATTATAGTAAAGATTTTAAATATAAAATAGCCAACAATTGTAGTTATAGTTATATATGAATATTATTCACTTGCGCTTTCCAGTAGGCCCAATTATAAGTGAAAATATATATGAAACAATTTTATTGTTTAGTTGCAACTTCAATAGGCGCTGTAGTATCTATAGTTATTGTGTTTTTTTATTGTGAATCGTCGACAAGCCAATTAGAAAACTTGAAATCTTCACATTTTGTTTCACGTTTCTAAAGTGCTACCAGCACGTTTGAATATATAAACACAAACAAATGTTTTATGAACAAGATACACATAGAAACTGAGATAATACAGTGAAACAATGTTTTAAAACGTGCACATATTAAATCCGACTCATTGTACTTAACATTGCTTCAAGAAACTTAATGATAATGTATTAATTGTAACTAGATTTTCCATCAAGACAAAATGATAAATTTGTCAATCCCACTTATCCTTACGTCCGTGGAAGTGGTAACAACATAGGGTCTGGTTATCCCGATGATAGAATCTCTGATTTTGGTCGACGTTGCTTTGACCGGCTGGAAAATGCTTTGGAACATATTCGGCGAAGGCAAGCTGCTAAAGAAAAAACACTTCATTTGAATGGATATTCTATGCATCAACCGTTAAGGTCTGTTCCTTATGATATGTATGTGACTGATATGAGGGTCAGGTTACCTTCGTCCAATAGTTGGGTCCGAGTAGACAATTGCAGGTAATAAATAAAGGATAATTTACTAGTAAGTATTTATCACTATAAAACCGATTGTATCGAGTTTAAATTTTAGATATAATCCGCGCAATAACAGCTTGGAAACACGCCTGTTATTCAACGATCTCACAATAAGTGGTAAAGTCGCCCTCTTCAACGAAGCAGAACTTCAGCGGGAACCTGTCCATCCTGATCCTGAAGACGCATGCAACATGATTCTACGCCTTCGACGAGCTGGCATCGGGTAAACATTAAATACTCTTTTAGATCGCAACATTCACTTGAATTGCTTTATTTTTGTATTCAAGATTTTTCACCGAGCCCATTCGAAGAGAACGAGGACAATTCAATGTTAGAACAGATTCGCACTTCTTAGAACCAGGATTTATCAGTGTCTATGCATATGGCTGCGAACGACGATTAAAACATGGCCGCAATCGTGGTGAACATGGACGAGATCGTGAACATCGACGAGACTTTCGTGATGAAGAGGACGAGGAGGAAAGTATCTCTCGGGAGATGGAGGATATCTTTTTAAAAGGCATTCGATCACTGTTGACAACTTATATGCAAAAGGAACTGCAGCCGGCCATCAAGGAGACTCTCATGACCAACATGGGTTATACCCTATCGTACGGATAAGTAACACTCTCCAAATTGAAGAATTGTTAACTAATTAGTGTGTGAACGATGTTATATGTATGGAACGTAAGCATAATTTTGCAACTTAGCTAATGCAATCTTAAATAAATCATATTTTTATAAATAAGGATTTCCGCGTCTAAAAAATGATTTATAATGCGCAAAAGTCACATAACAATCACAGTATATTTGTATTAATTCCTATCTAACGTAATTACTAACATCAATAATCATCTGGTGGTTCTTGTATCTCTGATTCATGTGGGTCCGGATTTTCGGCTACTTTTGAATGGATATCAGGCGAAACACCGTATTTGGTAACATTTCTGAATGTCGGCGATAGATGCTTCAAGACAGTGACTTGATTTTCTAAGCGTTGTATCTCCTTCCACTTGGCAATCGTATCGCACACTGCTTCAAACACAGCAAAGTTGATGCCACTTGTCAGGACTGCTTTCCACATACTTGGTACGCATCCTTTGAAAAGGCCAGCGAGTCCTTCCTTTTGAAACGTTTTGATGGTGCAATTAATCATATTATGACATGTGAATTGCTCGCCAAATGTAGTTCGATACTTTTGGAAGCCTTGAATCTGCATACGTTTCCGTGTCAGATCCAATGGATATACAGCGAGTTTGCTACCTAAGCCAGCCATGCTTCCAGCGATAATGCTGCCGGTTATCGAGTAAGCGTTTTCATCGTGAACGCCTAGAAGACGCTTGTATTGCCTATCGATAAATTTGTAAATCATAAATTGAAGGCCTGCATTTGGCATTATCGATAGCAAAGTCGGGCTGAGGCCTTTGTATAAAGATAAAATTCCTTCGTTTTTTATCATATGACGATAGCCTTGCAGCATGTTACCATAGACTTTCTTACTTTGCGCAATTTGACGTGTTCGCATGATATCAAAAGGAAAAGTCGCAATAGAAGAAAAGGCACCTGAAATTTAAAGAAATACAAGAGTATAATTAATTTTCATGTTTAATAAATCCAATTTCTGAAGAGTAAGTGTGCAATAATAAATTATTACAACAAACAAGTTGAATATTTTAGGCGGGAAATGTTTTCATGATCATCAAATATTATAACCTTCAATTTTATTGTTGCTCCGCAAATTCGTTAGTGAACCACATTTAAAATTAAAATTCAAGAAGATAAATTAAACAATTATATTGATAAACTATGGATCAGGCTCTAAAAGATGAAGTTTCCAGACAAGTATTTGAATTGGTAGAAGAAATCGAAAGTTTTGAAAAAGTTGAGATTGATGCAAAAGTTAAGCAAATTATAACTGAAGTGTTGTGGAAAAAGTTCAAAGTGTATGGCAAAGATTTGGAACGTTTCTCAAAACACGCCAAAAGAACCACCGTCAATCCAGATGATGTAAGGCTTCTACTTAGACAAAATGAGGGACTTTTGGCATTAATAGAAACACACATTAAACAAAGAGTGCAAAAAATGTGCACATGAATAACATAAAGCAATCAATTAAACATAAATATAATTTACCTGCTATAGCTCCACTAATAAAATTAATGGAACCCTTGTGATTATCATATAAGTTATGGGTTTTACTAAGTTTAACCAATTGTTGAAATGTCCAAAACTGAACAACACCAAATGTTACACTCAGTAATTGTGCAGCAGTGTGTCCTTTCCAGAAAGCAGTCACTCCTTCTTCACGAAAAATAGTGGAGGTTGCTTGAAGCATAGAAGTGTATTTAGCACCAGTTTGACCCTTTCGAATTGGTTCCACTTGCAGTTGAAACCTTGTTTTAATAACATCCAGTGGCTGAATTATAACTCTACCAATAAAACCAGCTGCTGCACCAGCAAACACAATTTCTCCATGATTAAGATATCGCAATCTTTCTAATCGCTCATTTCCAGCCTTCTTTTTCGTTTCATCTTGGGTGGTGGCTTCCTCCTCCACCATACTTTGAACTTATAATGGGGGATGAATGTCTTGTTACTGCATTTTGGTTAAAATGCTTCATTAGCCTCTTGCAATTGAACTTGGTGAACTAAGTCAACGCGTACAACACTCATACATGTTGAATGACTGAACGCAAAGAATGAAATAAATTTCACGTAAGATTTTGTACCTACCAAAAGTGATAGATGAGGCAACTACATACAATTACGAAATGATACCGACTTTTGAAGGTTATGACTGAAGGTAATCACATTGATAATATTATGGTATGTAATTCATAACACAAGCCTTAACTGAAGCTAAATTTAGATATTATATATTCTGTAGCATCTAGACAGTATTTACTACATTTCATATACTAAATAAAAATGGAGTACCAGTCAGAATTTTCTGTAAATGCTGAAGATGAGGAGGATACTTGGGAACCACCAGTAGAGGAACAATTAAGATTGTATGCAATTCTTGATAAGGGTGGAATTCCTGCATTACAATTTAAATGCGTTGGATATCGAGCACCCTCTCCTGAAGTAAATGATTCACTAGAGTTCAAAGAAGAAATTCCGTACGTAACCTATACTGCATTAATAATATAAAATCTAAGTTTGAAAATCTTTATATTATGGAATTTTAGAGTTGTTGATAAGTCTGACTTTGATTTTATGGATGAAGTCACTTTACCTAAACTAAAAATTCGAAAAGATGGCGAAGATGCACTCAAGGGAAGTGCAAAGAAAAAAACTACATCTTTAGATGGAGTCCTGAGCAACATGAGAAGGCATAATTTATTACCATCAGCAATAAATAAATAATTTATTTAGTGATACACCTTTTCCAATCTCAAAGTTTGTTATATATATTATAAAATATTATTGACTTAAGATTATTTTCAACTTTTGATTATGATTTTATCAAATTTCTCTAAAATCATTCTAAAGTTAGCACCTTTCTCCACTTTAGCCAAACTGTTTTCGGTATTGGTATGAGTCACCAATTGAGCCAGAGTTGTTCTCACAGACTGCACTTGCTCATTTGTTTTTGGTCCATATACTATAATTGGCATGCATTTGCTAAAGTGACTCACAGCAATCAAATTGTGTTTCGGTTCATATTGAATGCAATGTATTGCAACCGCTTCATGATATGGCGAAAACACTTGCTCAACCTTTTCATTATCAACTTGCCACACATAAACATCGCCACTTTCTGTGCCCGATAATAAGTATGCATTGCATGGTGTGAGTACACACTTCATGTTCGCTCTAAAAAAACACAGATTTAGTTTTATTTGACCTTTGCTCCTCATCATATACAATTTTAACATGTACGTACTTTTTATTTGATCCTTTATTAAATGTGGCTAGAACATAGCCCGTTTTAATATCTACCAGACGAATATGCCCGTCTCTGTAATTGACAATCAATCGCCTTCCGCGTCGATGCAATATAATTTGATTAATTGTTACGTCTTTCATGTCCATTACTGAAACACTTTGTTTGAGACTCCAAACATTTTTTCTGTTCTGCCATCTTAAAATACATCCGGTTGAGTCAGCGCTGTACATGAAGTTATTTTCTTTATCAAAGCAAATGGATGTCACATATCCTTTGTGTTCTTTTAATTCGGTCTCAAGTGCATATGATGCTAAAGACCAAAATCGAATGCGATGGTCAAAACAACCGGTCGCTATGTATTTGTCATTAAATAGTACACAACAATAAACATAACTTGGATGAGATAAGACGCTTTCAAGTTTTTGCATCGGAACGTCCCAAATCGCAACTGTACTATCAGCAGATGCTGAGAATAATTGTGTGTCATCGCTCGACCACATCAAATCATATATTAAACCGTCATGATGTTCCAGCCGACATAATTCTCTATGATTCGAGAGTTCATAAGTAATAATTTTATACATATTATCTTCTGAAGTGGCAAATGCCAGATATGCACCATTATTACTAAACTTGTGAATCAAACAGCCTAGATCTCCAACTGGAATTTCCATCACTTTATGTTTTGAAAGTTTGAATAATTTATCCAGTTTTGGTAAAGGTTGCAACACTTTTTCTTTGTTGATTAATACATCTCCTAGAATTTCAGTAGACATTTCTTTTGGTTCACTAGATCGTTTGACTTTAGTGTTTGAGACATTTTCAGCCATACTTGTTTCATTTAGTCTAACATACAACGTGGAAGGATATTTGCGCATCTTTTTCTGTTTCCACCAGTTGTAACTGTTGTATTTTGAGTCCGTTTGTAAATTCTGTGAATGATAAAGTTGCAAGCGTAAGTTTCGCTCGTAATTGCTTTGTGGTTTTAAAAATGCCCACGCAACTATTTGATTCATTGCGGATTCAACGATTTCAAAGAATATCATCATGGTGTGATGATTTTGAAGGTATGAGTAATCATCGTTTATGACGATTGCTTCATTCCAAAGAGGACATTCTTGACTGAAAGGAAATGAAATATATAGTAGATAAAAATATAAATGCTTATTGATATATATTACTTATAGTGCATGAAATTAAACACTTGCGTTGTGAAGGAATCAATGTAGTCAATGCGCAAGTTTTTTGTTGCATTATGTATGTTAACACATCTCTGTGGGTCAGATTTCTTCACGTACTCGTTGGTCTCGCTATCGATGAAATGAATTCTTACGAATGCACCTAACAAATATGAATTTAATTGTAGCCGATTGGTTTTTATAATATGTATGGCAAGCACTTGATTTACAATAGACTTTTCGTCATTTATGTTTTGGTTTTGTGGTAGATCAAGAATTTCTTGTTGTTCATCATCTGCTGTATGTTTTATTCGATTTATCTTACGTTTTGCTTTGTCTCGTTTTTTAGTTTTATTTATATTATCCAAATTTGATTCAGATTCGTTATTAATTTGATCATTTATTTCTTCTGTTTGATCTGCGTTTTGAATTGACGTCATTTCAATATTCTCATTGGCCTTTGTCACGTCCACTAAACTATTTTTCTTCTGAAGGAAACTTGTTAGTCTGGAGCTTGAAGGAGCATCATATGTAGCATTAGAAATATTTGATATTCCAGAACTGGCATCTTCATTATCATCGTTTTTATTGGTTTGATGGAGTTTATGTGGTGGTGTTATGTTTTGAAGTACGTTTGTATTATCTTTATTGCGTCGTGGTGATTTGTTTTGAAGAAACTTTTGCATTACGTAACGTTTTTCCTCGGTAATTTGAGGATCGTCCGTTTCATTGGAAAATTCTTGAACTTCCGTGAGAGTATTACTGTTGTCATACGCATAATTAATTTCATCATCATCATCACTTTTTATTAAGTGCTCTTTAGAAGCTGTTGTTTTTAACTTGGCTCTTTTATCGGATCTCTTCATTTTATTTCTGAATTAATTAGTTTTTACGTACAAATATGTTAGAAAGGCTGGACGAAACTAAATAGCTGAATTTATTCGTTTTTGTTTGTATTAACATTGATTTTTCGTTGCTGTGACAACGACTGTTTTGATTGCCTTTATTCAATAAGTCGCTAATCAAAAATCGTATTTAAGTTACTCAATAAATCTACGTTTTCTTAATTGTTATAACTATAACATGAATTTTATGAAGAATCTATTGCAAGAAAACGAAATAAAAAACATTTTTCTGAAATGCACGTGTATAACGAAAAAAAGGCAGAAAATGTACGAACTGTACTTTATAATGCAGTAAATATTTGCGTACAAGGAAAGATAACTGAAAACAGTTAATCATACTGGTTGAAATAATAAAAAGAAGCAAATTCAAATAAATTTGCGCATGCGATATTCCTCGTTCTGTTCCACAGCATTGGTGACTCTAGGGTAATAAACGGTAAGGTTGGTAGCGGCTTTCATAAAATAAATAAAGTCGATCAACTGTCAGTGGACTTTTGTGTGGACGGCTGATAACTTTTTGTACCCGTCTGTGAAAATAACAACTTAGAAATCATGGGGGATGGCAATGACGAAGAAAAGCAGTCGCTGCTTTCTGGAAATCGTAACAATACCGTTTATAATGAAGAATATGAATGTAAGTAACTAAACTACGTTGTAAAACACATTGAACTCCAGGCTAATACATATCATTAGATATGATTGTTTCTTTGAAATATGATAAGAGCTGTTTACACACCTCAATGTAATAATTGCAGCACAACATACAACCGTCTCTCCTATCGGCCCGGATGAACTACCGCCTCCATTTTATCAAGGATCAGTGGGTGGCAATGTTCCTATGGTCACCTGTCGAGTATGCCAAGCAATGATTGATATTTCTGGCAAAAGAGATCAGCATGTTGTAAAATGTTGTCAATGCAATGAAGCAACAGTAAATATTAACAAATGACAGTATGAACAAACTTATCACTATTTCTTTGTAGCCAATTAGGAATGCTCCACCTGGAAAAAAGTATGTTAGGTGTCCATGCAACTGTTTACTCATTTGCAAGAGTTCTTCTCAGAGAATTGCTTGCCCAAGACCTAACTGCAAGAGAATCATCAATCTTGCACCCAGTCCAGTGACACCACCTGTACCATCTATGCCTGGGATGTGTAGAGTAAACTGTGGTCACTGTTTAGATACATTTGTTGTATGTATTTTCATATCACTTTTTACAAAATATTATTAATAGCATTATTTTATTTTGTTTACAGTTTAATACAATGAACAATGCATTGGCACGTTGTCCGCATTGTCGTAAAGTGAGTTCGGTCGGACCAGACTATGCTCGAGGCCGAGGAAACATCTTTTTAATAATGAGTCTGATCTTCTTGAGTATTGGCATCGGCATCACTGCCGGCACAATATCGTATGCGCGATCGCACAATGGCGTTTATGTTGTGTATGTAGCTTCGTTTCTGATTGCCATTTTACTGTTTTTGCGATGTATTTATTACTACACGATCAAGGTGAGCGCTATTAACGGGCCCATGTAAATAGTTGAGGTTTTCACTGTATTACATAAACAAAGTGGGTGGAATTGTGGAATATGCTTGCAATTCTACGTGAAATGGCGTCCAAAACAGCTGTTAAGATGTGACTACTCGTGTGCTGGATACTGCAGAATTCCATAATTTCTATCTGCCAATGAAGGTATCACATTCTAATCCAAACATGTGAGATTAATTATCAGAATGCAATGAATTTATTGGTAGATACCACTGAAATCATACAATATATATACACACATATATTTAATAATAGCATAGCTTGGGCTACAATAAGAATATATTAGTCTTTGATCCTGTAGACAAGTAGACCAAACTTCAGAAGACTTGCAATGCACACTTTTTATAAAAAAATAATTGAGTGCCGCATATATAACAAGGCGGATTATAACCTTGAAGATGATAGGTTTTATAGTTGTTGTCTTCTTGCGGATCATTTGATTATTTAGTATGCCTTTAGGAACAAATAATTTCATCAGAATTGGGGCGTTGACTAAATTTCTCAGATGCATATACGATTTTTTGCCAAAATTGAAGTACATACATAATTTAAATATAATTATATACTCTTATAATTATGTGTAATCAAATCAATAATCAAATAATAGTATTGTAAGATTTGAATTAGCGGCTATGTATTCTGTTCATTTATTGAAGAATTGGATGCATATATTATCGGCTCGACTTTATTTCCCATCTGCTCATCAGAGGGACTGGGGATATAAGTGAATGTGTAATTAAAATAATTTTAAATGTATGTGATAACGTATTTTTATATTTTGCTTGATTAAATTACACACATTGAATGCAATGGCTGATATTTCTATATTTTGACACAATTTGCATACTATATTATCCTTCTAAGTTTCTTTCTTGGCACAGCAAGGAAGAAAATAACTTAAGATTTTTTATCTTTGAAGTATCAATCAATAACACTGGAAAACAGCATGTCTGTTGCATGAGATTTTTTACATGAATCTGGATAGTTTTTCCACGCTGATTTCGAAAATATATGCTGTATTTATGTAGCAGCTCTAGTTTTGGAGTTATGAAGTGACAGGGTTTTTCATTGAAAATGCACATAGTTTAAGTTTAAAAAAATTATTAGATTTATTATTCTGAATGAAATTTCCTTTTTTTGGATTTTCTAGAGTGAGATGTATTATGAGTACTATTTTGAATGCTCCAAGAATAATCAGCTATCATATGTTCATTTCAGTATCCCTGATACCTCGCCTCCATAGTGCAAACATCCTGGTGGAAGCGCTCTCCTTGTTCTTCGCTTAGGTCTCTGAGATTTTCAGGAAAATGGTCTAGATGGCTGTGAAGGTAGTGAAACTTGATACTCATGTTGCATCCAAGCAGCTGGAAGTGTATCAGCAACTGTTCAACGTGCTGAATGTAGCCGTCAGACTTCCTATTGCCCAAAAAATTCCTCACTACCCAAACAAACTCTTTCCATGCACATTTCTCGACAGCTGACATATGGTTGACGAAATTTTTATCATCTATCAACTTCCTGATTTGTGGGCCATCGAAAATACCTCCTTTGATTTTCTCACTACTCAATTTTGGAAACACTTTTACAATGCATTTTAAACATTTGCCATCTTTGTTAAGAGCTGTATCTCACTAACTAGAGCTGCTACAAAAAATCTAAGGGTAGATTTGAAATCAGCGCACCCAAATTAATAAACAGCAGTAGAAAAACTTCATGCAACAAAAAAAAAGTTTTATTTTGTTGCCCTGTGTAATCCTATAAATCAAGTCAAGATGGCGTTAGAATGCACATATTTGCATTAAATTCTAAGCACACTTATCACTGCTAGTATCTGGTAGGTATAAGTGAGTGTACATGGCCTTAAACGGAAACGTTCGCGAATTGGTGCAGCAGGTTTTTTTTTATCTGTAATATCCTTTCTATCTTTATCACATTGAGGTTTTAATCATTATACTACGATCTAGACTCTCTCTTGACAATGTGGTAATTTTATGTAAAAGTTGATCATGGAAGGAAATATCACTTTGCCAGGAAAACACACCATATATCTTGTAATAACTTAATAACTTACGCATCTTCCCGACCCTTTCAACCTTCTACAAGTGTTCGAAAAATGGCTTACAAATTGACATTATTCTCACATTTCAAAAAGTTGGCCTAGATAACAGCCTGTATCTCGTGAACTAATGCACATTTTGTGGGTTTTTAAAGCCATGTTTTAATATAAGGGACGCTCTACATGTTAATTGACAATATGTACTGCATACAAAAGTGGAAACACGTGAAAACATTTATTATTGATTATAATAGTCTAAATCTCATCACTAATCTAATCATAAAATCGAGTTATAGGGTTTATTTTTATATTTATCGACAAACGGGGGCACGAGAATAGTTTTGTATATAATGCTGTTTTCCTACGATTCGGTGTAAACAACGTACTCAACGCATGTGTTCCGCGCGCTGTCTCCTAGCGCCGCATCAACTTGCTGCATGCAGCGAAGTCTAGTTTAGTTTAGATCATAGGTAATGTGCCTATTGCAAATTCGCGCACAAGGTCGCGTGCCTTCGACGCGCCGTCTTTGCGCACCTCTTGCTTTCTTATCATATACTGTCCCGTCGTTGTTTACGCAGTTTCGGCAGCGGATTGCAGCCAGTTTCGTGCCGGTCGCTGGTTAATTCAGTCGTGTTTTGAGAGACTTATATCGTTTATTCGGATTTCAATATTCAAAATTTGTGTTATTCTCGAAGATCAATTGATTATTTTTATTTATTTGTACTTTGCGACTATAGTAATTTGTTTAATGTTAGGAAATGCCGGTTTTTGATCGCGTTTGTTATGTATATTACAAGCCACATGACAGTGGATTTGATAACATTCGTCACTCGGCTTTGTGTTTAGTGTCGGTTACTAAATTAATCGGATATATATCGCCCCTATTAAGAAAGATCCATCAGGCTCGTGTAAGTATTTTTAACTAAACAGTACAGATTGTTTATTTTGTGTTGATTGTTAATTATAACATAATTCAAATGTTTGAAATAAATTTGTTTTAATTAATGTTTTTGTTTAGTTACAGCATTCATTGTGCGTAGCAGTCCGATAAGCTGTACACTGGTAAGTTTATAATGCAATTATATTTTTCGGTCAAGTTTACATTTGCTGTTTATAAAAAAGTTTTCTATTTATCACGTACTACCTACTTGCTGGGCCGATGACAGGGGGGTCAACTGGGATAAATTCCTCGGCTCCCGGCTGATCGCTCTTAAATCGCTAACACAAAAAAATAATATAAAATATATATAATTTTTTTTATATAACACGCGAACGAGGTTTTACAATAAGTTCGGAATAATTTTCCGAGATGCAGAATTTAATTTTGTATCTCCCTGTATTGAAATTTATTGCGAGAAACTTCCTTTGCGCGAGTTATATTGAAAGTTGTGTGTGTACGCCGTAGTACTCGTTGCGCTTGGAATTGTAGTTTTTTTTTTTTTATATAACACGCGCACGCAGTGTCACATTAAATTTGGAATATTTTTCCCAGATGCAGAATTAAATTCTGTATCTTCCTGTATCGAAATTTATTGTAAGAAAATTCCGTAACGCGAGTTATATTGAAAGTTATGTGTATACGCACTAGTACTGGTTGCGCTAGGAATTGTAGTTTTTTTGATATAACACGCCAACACGGTGTCACAATATGTTCGGAATAATTTTCCCAGATGCAGAATTTAATTCTGTATCTCCCTGTATTGAAATTTATTGCGAGAAAATTCGATAAAGCGTAATCTGGGCACCGTATGAGGGTAGCGGTAGATGGGACTCGTGTTCAGGGCACCGTACGATGGTGGCGGTAGAAGTGACTCGTGTTCAGGGCACCGTACCAAGGTAGCGGTAGAAGTGACTCGTGTTCAGGTCACCGTACCAAGATAGCGGTAGAAGTGACTCGTCGATAAAAATTATCAAGCACCCCCTTGGTAATTTTTCTTAAGTAATTTCTCAAAAATCCTATTTACTCCGTAGATTTTCAGATTTCCGCTTTAACTACTGTATGTTATAGATATTAGTCCGTAGAATATTCTCTGCGAGTTGTACCTATTTATCTCTGTTAGTTTACGAGATATTCGCGATTGAATGAAATGGGCAAAAATTAAAAAATGTCACTTTTTAGCACTTTTAGTCGCCTTTTTCGACCCTTTACTGTAGGAAATATATATATTTTAAATTTCTATCTGGTACAGAATTTTCCAGTCTTCTATAATCAGCGATTCGTTGGTTGCTCTGGCTTTTAGTTTAAGAGATATGAATTTTCAAAAATCGTCGAAAAAAGTATCAAGCACCCCCCCCTTGGCAATTTTTTCTTAAGTAAAAAAATTTTATTTTTCAGATTTCCGCTTTAACTACTGTATGTTATAGATATTAGTCCGTAGAATATTCTCTGCGAGTTGTACCTATTTATCTCTGTTAGTTTACGAGATATTCGCGATTGAATGAAATGGGCAAAAATTAAAAAATGTCACTTTTTAGCACTTTTAGTCGCCTTTTTCGACCCTTTACTGTAGGAAATATATATATTTTAAATTTTTATCTGGTACAGAATTTTCCAGTCTTCTATAATCAGCGATTCGTTGGTTGCTCTGGCTTTTAGTTTAAGAGATATGAATTTTCAAAAATCGTCGAAAAAAAGTATCAAGCACCCCCCCTTGGCAATTTTTTCTTAAGTAAAAAAATTTATTTTTCAGATTTCCGCTTTAACTACTGTATGTTATAGATATTAGTCCGTAGAATATTCTCTGCGAGTTGTACCTATTTATCTCTGTTAGTTTACGAGATATTCGCGATTGAATGAAATGGGCAAAAATTAAAAAATGTCACTTTTTAGCACTTTTAGTCGCCTTTTTCGACCCTTTACTGTAGGAAATATATATATTTTAAATTTTTATCTGGTACAGAATTTTCCAGTCTTCTATAATCAGCGATTCGTTGGTTGTTCTGGCTTTTAGTTTAAGAGATATGAATTTTGGCAATTTTTTCTTAAGTAAAAAAATTTTATTTTTCAGATTTCCGCTTTAACTACTGTATGTTATAGATATTAGTCCGTAGAATATTCTCTGCGAGTTGTACCTATTTATCTCTGTTAGTTTACGAGATATTCGCGATTGAATGAAATGGGCAAAAATTGAAAAATGTCACGTTTTTTGAACTTTTATTATTGGAAATATTAGTATTTTATATTTTTATCTGCTAGAGAATTTTCCAATCTTTCATAATCAGCAATTCGTTGGTAGCTATCTCTTTTAGTTTCAAAGATATTAATTATCGAAAATCCGCGAAAAACATTATCAAGCTCTTGGCATTTTTTTCTTAAGAATTAAAATTTCATTTTAGTAATGAAATATTATATTTTATTTTATTTTAGTGCACATCAGTAATGTTCTATTTCAATTCAACACGCTTATCGGGGTTTGTGTATAAACAAGTTTTTATATCGCTATAAACGTGCGCAATGCTGCCTCTCACGCTACGAACGTTCGACCGCTTCAGTCTGTTCTTACCTGCACGCGGCTCGGCATCATTTTTTCATTCATTCCGATTACATTACATTTTATTATTGATTAAAAATCAGCATTAATTATGGCACCTAATAACACCAGACATGCAGAGTGTTTTGCTAAGGTTGATTTGCGCGTAAATGATTATAAAACTCTTGTTTACATGTGCGTGTCGGCTATTGGATTATTTCGATGCTGAGAATCCTATTCGTAATTTTATGTAATTGTAATAACGACTGTCCTTGGCATGATATTCCGGGAAAATTGTGTGTTAAAATAGTACATGTTCATTATTCGACAAAACGAATTTAAATAAGTGTGCATCATAGTGCGAGTTTTCACACACGTGTTTTTTTTCTTTCTGTTTCAGTACTTTCTTTGATTACCAGATGCCCTGGTAAGTTTGTAAACCTTATTACATCATAACTACTTAATTGATGTGTGCCGTCGGATGCGACTTCGATCTAGAAGTCTAGAGTAGTCTAGAGTATGGTCATGTCAATCATCGGTTTAATAACGTGAATCTTTCCTTGCTCGCATTTTCTTTTTATTTCATAAATCTGCAGCTTCGTTAACGTATTTTCGTAGTTTGGCAATTAATTATTGAGAGTAATATATTTGTATAAGATGATTTAAATTTCCTTCCGCGTGTGTGCTTGAGTTGCCGTCGGCGGACACATTTTGCCTTGCTTGTGGCGTATCTGGCAAATCCGTCGCAAAGAAAATTTCAAGATTGCAATAAAATTCATATTGATGTTTTATTTATCCATAGCTTCCCTACCTTTCCATTCCTCGATATTCTGAGAGAAACATTAATACTATTAATACTATTAATAATATTAATGGCAATTTTCTTGGATTTTTCTTCTAGCTCTTTATTCTTAAATTAAAATGTAATAGTATTTTCGTTGTGTCACCCTCTCTATTCGTGAATCTAATTCCATGCATGGAAACTTTTGAATTTTCTTATTAAATGAAGCGATTTTCTTCTTGTATCAGCTTGTATTACTTTTCCTTGTTTCCTAATGTAAAACTGACTAAATTTGTTGTTTCCGGGTCGTTTTCTACTTAAACTTTGTATTTTATTTTTAAATTTGGGAATTTGTTTGTAACACCCTGTATGTTTGTTTTTCTTGATTTCCTATTATAAGTTTTCTAAATTTGTTATTTCCGAGTGTTTTCTTCTTTTAACTATTCATTTTCTTTTTGCAACACCCTGTATATATATATATTTTCCTTAATTTCCTAACAAAAACTGTCGACATTTAGTGTATCCAAATATTTTACTTCTAGAACTTGGCATTTTCGTTGATAATGTAGTAATTTTCTTTTTGCAACACCCTGTATATTCGTTTTCCTTTGTTGTACTTATTGTACTTACATAATTGCATTACATTGCATTACATTACATTTGTTAATAAAGAAATGTCAAACAGATTGTGACTTGTATTATTTGTATGCATCCCTTCTACCATTGCAGGTACAGGTCAGCACTTGGAAAATATTTCTATGTTTTCTGTTGGCTCTAATGGAGTCGACACTTAGAAATATAGAAATATTTTTACAAGACCTTTTATAAGGATTGTCCTTATAAGGAGTTCCCTCTCTCTGGGGGTGATCCCCCACCATAAAAATTGTTGATATGCCTGATAATTTCGGGGATGAAGCGCAGAGATATCGTAGCTGTAGGATGGGCCGGGAGCAATGGACGCATCGAAGCAGTGACTGTCTAACGACACGCGCCAAAAAATTTAAAAATCTGATCCTCCCCTGTTCTCTTTCTTCTATCTCCTCCTCTGCTTCTCTACTCTACTCCCTGTTCTCTTCTTTTTATTTCTCCTATTCTATACTACTTCCTTCTTCTTCTATTTCTCTGTTCTCCGTTTCTCCCCTTGTTTTCTGATTTTTCATATTGCCTTCACTTGTATTTCAATTTCTCTTACATTTCGTTGCAATTCATATATGCAACCCAAATTTCACCTGATATTTTTATATTTGAGAAAAATGCCTTCTACACCTGAGATTCGATCTGAATCTGCTAGCATGCCAGCAGGTGCACGTCTCCACTCGACCACCGAGTGTTTTTATTGTTGGTATTTGATTCTTCTATTTATGTTTATACATTTATCTTGTTTTTGAAAACAACAACACAAGCATCTCCAGCACTACCGCTTTAGATATTTCAAGCTCCATGGTTTGGGCACTCAGAAGCAAGACTAGGGGCGATGAACACACGCGATTTATCTGACGCCCGGAATGAAACTCGGGTGGTTCGTCTTTCTTCTCTTTAGGCTCTCGTTGCTTGCTTTTCCCTGCTGTTGCTGGGTGCTCTCTGTGGTCTCCTCATATTTCTTTGCTTTATTCTAATTCTTATTTTTACAACTCTCTCTCTCTCTTTCTACGTAAATTCATTTACAAAACAAGAAATTTGGTTTAAATGTTAAAACATTTAATAAATTAACTATTACAGAAATTGAATTCTACTCACTACTCACCTATGTAGTGCATCAGCACGTCCGGGAAAAGTACTGAAACAAAAATATGTTTAGAGAGAAATTTTTCAAATTAAAATCACAAGAGGCGTGTATCGTCGCCAATCTCAATAAGCCGAAAATTAAAACCCGTGCACAACCCATCGCCGCGCATGATGTGACTGGCAGAACAGCAAACTGAAAGCATATATTAGTTATTAACCTAGCATCTCCTTGCATGGATGTCTTTATCCATATGTTTGCAATATCAGACCCATTTTGAGACTCCATTGAGATAAAGATGAAAGAATTTAAAAACATACAAATTACATTGTTAGATCTGTTTGCAATAGACATTCGAATATAATGAGATTTTTAGGGTTCAAACATTAACTGTTCACGAAGCAACGATTCAGACCTAACCCCAAGTAAAGAAAGTATTTATTTTCTTAGTGTGAGATGCAAAGATACAGAAAAATCATTGTAAATAAAAAAATACGCACACACATTTCAAGAAATGGCATGACATATATACATATATAATAAAAGTAACTGAACACAACATCATAAACTGAAACCAACTAATTAGAGATACTTTTGAAGCAGATTTTTCAACCAGGTCAAGTCATTAATAAGATCCGCAAAAATTATATAACTACGCAAGTCGCAGGAACCATTATTAGGTAGTGAAGAGGAAACCACTCCGCGCAGGTACAAGCGTCCATCAACTTCCTGCATGAATCCCGCGCCACTGTCTCCTGAGCACGGACCCATATTGTCCCTGCTACCAGCACAGAAGCTGTTGTCGGTAATAAGTTCACGAAAAACAGCGTGCGTGTCATGGCAAACCATTTTTGGTACAAGTGGCATTCTTATTTTCCGGTAGGTTGTGTAATTAGGGCCGAAACCAGAAACAATTCCTATGCTGTTATTTCTTGCTGAATTCGGAAGTTGCAAACAGATTGGTCTCAAACTAGTGGAGAACTGCACATCCGTGTTCAAAGATAGAATGGCAATATCGTGCTCTGGCCTATGATTATATTGAGGGTGTTTGACTATATTAGATATCCCTAATGATTGATGTGGTTCACTCATAAGATGACCCAATACAACGTGATAATTTTCCGGTTTTTCAGTTAGCGAAAAACAATGTGCGGCTAAAAATATCAATTTTAATTTTATTTAAAAATTTTCAACAACTTGGACTACATACCAGTTAATAAATGTTTTCTCGAGATAAGATTCACTGTGCAGACATACTCCTTAGGTGTAACATTGATACGGAATAGAGCACCCAACCAAGGAAACTCTCCAGGTAGAGCATTTTCACCACCTTGAATTAGTTTAATCACCGAATATCCACAACTTTCAGAGACCGTTTCTAAACGCACTTCCTGCCCTCTTGGCATAAACTCCAATGGTGCTTTAGTTGTGGTTGTTTTTTTAGAATTCAGTTTGACCTTGATCCGATAAGTTTGAGTGTTATCCAATTTATCGAAATTAGGTGGTAAGACAATCCTAAGCGAGCGCGCTTGTACAGATACATCTTTTGTAAAAGTAACAAACAACACCACTAAATAGAACCAACACGTAAAAGTGGCTACAGACATTTTTTGCGAAAACGACATGATATAGGAAATGGTTAAAGAGCTACTGACGCGATTTCGTCCAAATGTGGGTTGCTTAAAGTAAAAAAAATAAGCGGATTTAGCGAATTTAAAGTATGTGGGAATTTAATCACTGATAAACACACCACATACCAAATGATTGTAAGAATATTTATCACACCAACGCAATCACAAACTAAACTATACAGTAACACAAAAATATAAAAAAAATATATCAATCCTTTACTCTAGTACTAAAAAACTATGGCGAATACATATAGTTCTTATTCCCAGTATACAATTTCAACACCCGAAACTTGACTTCATCGGAAACCGTGAGTCGATGTCCTTGATCAAAATATTTGTGAATGCCATTACACAGAACGTACAGATACCCAGAATTGTCCATTGCAAAACTGTCAGGCCATATAATCTCTCGGGAATTACTGACGACTTCCCTCGCAGTATTGAAATACTCATAAATATTCCACTTGCCAATGCCATGACTTTGAATTAAACCATAGAATAAGTTTCCTTTATTATCAATGATCATCCCATCCGTTATGGCGGGCTTCCGACCAACATGTTTAACGTACGCCCGCCATTGATCTCCTTTACAAAATCGCTCATTACGCAAAATTCTATTAGAAATCGCGTAGAGATTATACCCGCTCAGAGCTGTGTAGTAAACAATTCTTTCTTCATTTCGCCGTGGATTCAGCGGTGACAGCGCAATACCATCAATAGGAGCAAGTGCCCCAAATCGAACACCGTCGATGGTAAAATTTGTCGCGTCCAGTTCGGGAAACATCGAACGATCGCGTAATTTCCATGCTCGTTTTTGTTTGCGTGAGTAAACAATTAAACCGGGATCAAGAGCGCTGTTATCGGTAATGTATGCGTAACCACCATCACTTTCATCGATTACCAAATCGTTTAAAAACCCACCTTCGGTTAGTGCAATATCTGGAGTGAAAATATGTCGTGATACTATGCGATTATTATTCAAATCAATCAGGACTAGTTTCGGAGGACATTTAGTAAAGTCATTAATTCTAGTTCCATCTAGGATCCACATTATTCCACGTCGGTCTATTTCCATGCTTTGTACATTTTGTAATGTTGTACAACTTGTTTTGACGTTCATATCCCATGATGGGAATGGGTCTAGTAACAAATTACGTTTTATGGGCACTTCTCCAACTTCGTTGATATCGTCCTGATGGTTTATTGGTACGCTGGCGAGTGTAATAGGTGTACCAGGACGTAGACGTGGTAAAGCAAGGTACATTCTGTCTTTATAAACTTTGATACCTATTAGCGCGTTGTGCTCTGGTACATATACACCATTTTGCAAAGCTTCTTCGTATGCAGAACGTGAGGGCCATGTGAAATTAACTGAAGACCATTCGTAGTCGGTAACAAAACTGTTTGAAACACTGCGTTGCACATAGTTTTGAGTGATTTGATTTCGCGGTACCACGCAGTACGAGAGAAAAACAAAACCAAAGTATTGACAGAAGTCGAACCGTGGTGGTTGCATTTTGAACTGGTTGTGATTGCTGATCAGTCACGTCGTTGGATACAATTTAATTTAGATTAGTCTTGTAATTGAAGCAGGTGCGACCGACTCGTGATTGGTGGGAGTTATAAACGCGAATGGTCATTGGTTGCGCAATTTTTAATTTAAAGGTATTACACACATCGTGTGTTGATAATATGTGTAAGAAACATGAATAAGTTATTTCGAATGAATTGTTGAATGGTGCCCTTGAACGTTTCTTTATACTAAAAGCAGCAATATCAGCAAAACAGGAAGGAATAAAATCTGTGCATCTGTGTGTTTTAAACTTCCTCTGATTTTTTGTTGAATCTAAAATTAATTGCGTATAATTTTTGAATTAAACCCATTAAACAATATTTAGCGTTCTCAAATTATAAGTTATGTCATTCTAATTGCGGTATTTACAAAACTAACCACAAGTTATGATTAGATCGTTACAATTTCATCAATTTTATTAATATTCACCAGAAAAAGAGGTCACAATGAGTCAGATAACTCATTGATAATTTCTTTTTTTGTTGCAAAATAAATCTCACTTCAAGCCTTGTTCCAGTTCGTTCAGTTGTTGAAATAACAATAAATGATCAGACAATGTTCGCATTAGTTTTTATTGAGTGAAATCCAAGTAAAAATGAAAAAAAAAAAACTCGAGCAGTATAACGGTTATTACCAGTTGGAAATAGATTCATTTTTAGTTCACTTACTTCCCAAAGCGTAATGAAATATGATTGCGAAAAGAGTTTAATAATTGCGACCTTGCGTGTCCAAAACTATAACAAATTACGCATTGTAAATATTTTTATTAGGTGCTCCTCATTCTTAAAAGCTAAATTAACGACAATAACAATAGAATAGTGACCCAAATTTGCTTTTTCTTCATTTTTTTGTACCCACCGAATGAATGTTTGTTCTATGTGTTGCCTACATTAAAACCTGGTTAGAAATAAAATGCAAAAATCAATTCTTAGAAGTTCGTTAAGTTGCCTACATTAAAACACTGCTTTTAACTGTTAAATATAAATAAATAAGTTATTTTTTGAAATACAGGATAATTTATCAAAACAATTGAACATGGGACAAAAATGCCCCAAAAACATTCCATTCCTAGGTGAATGATTATATTCGCAATTGTTTCAGCACTTGTTCGAACGACATCTTAAAATTTTATTTCCACGCGATGCACATGATGCGCAAGTTGCAATAATGCGACGCGATATCACTTTATCGGCGCGGAAATTGGGTCACGCCAAAGTCGCGCAATAACATAAAGAATGCGCAACGCAAACAACCGCCATGGCGCTTTTAAACTTTTCGGCGAGTGCTTGCGCATCCAACGAAAGCTCTAAAATATTATATCGCCGCAAGTTTTCACCATTCAATTGAATAAATATATTTTCCTATAAAATTTATCCAGCGGGTACGAATAAACAAAACAGCAAATTGTGGTTATCTAACTGAAACTTTAAATTTCCGGTTGATTTCGTATTGAATTTCTACATTTTCGGATTGGTTTTATTTATTTTCTTTCGATAATCTTTTAGTTTTGTAGAGTTTTGATTTTGCGTTGTAATTCCGTTTAAATATACTTGCATCCAAAGTGAATATTCCATTTCTCATCAAGGAAAAACGGAAACTTACTCTTGGTAAACGGACTGAAGAGGGTTTGGGGTGGTTTTATCGTCTCCGCAACACAGTCGCGAACGGAAATTATCTCGAATGCCATTCGATGGCGTTCGCAGTGCGCTCACTTCACTAATTTTCCTTCTTCAACGCTTCTTAAAACGTTAATTAAATCCCCGCACAAAACGGCCAAACGAGCAAAAACTTTATTTTTTATTGCGTACAATAAAATTGTAATTTAGTAACTAACCTCCCAAATAAAACTAAAACCCAGTGCTTACCAAGCAGCTAAAACGATTAAATTAGTAGTAAATATGTATAAGCTATGGCGTAATTTGTTTTTATTCGATTGTTTTATGAATTGTTGAGGCTTATCTAACTCATCTGCTTAGTATACGTATCTTGGTTGAAGTGTGCGGTTGGATGCCGCTAATCGCCAACAAAAATTATGTTAATTACCTTTTGAAAAGTTTCCGGATAATGTTTCGCCTCGCGGCGAGACATTACACCGACTGTAAATCGTCCTTCAGCATTCTCCCAGCAAGAGTTTCAGTCCCAACTTGCCTGCTCCGTCCACACATGGCAAAGTTCCACAATTACCTGAAAATTAACGCTATTATAATAAATTCTCAAGCAGTTATCGCGAATTTTACTTTGCCGTAAAATAATAAAACAGAAAATGTCTGCGAATTAAAGAAGCAAAGGAGAAAAAGCGCTAAAATAACGCAGAGGGAAAAAAGTTAAAAATCTTGGGGAAAGCTGACATTCTGACATTTTGAAAAATATCAGAAGGAAATCTTGTTTTGAAAGCGACAGCGCGTAAAATGCGTGCGGACTATAAGCATGTGAAAAAGCTGTAAAAAGTTTCTGAGATCAAGGATCAATGAGAGCTCAATGTCGTCGATGTCAAAAAGTATTCGGTTTGATGTTTTCATATCGACAGCACGTCAAATCGAATATCCAAAGGATCATAAATTTTATTAATTCTCCAACCACAGTGTATTTTACCACAATTTACCAGCAAACTGTTGTTTTATTAATTATATTTTGAACCGTTTTCGTCTTGTAATTCTTTGTAATTTCCTAATGTGGTAATTTACTCTCTGAATTATTGTCTTCCCCCTCGAGTTATCCTTACTTCTAGTCGAACGACCGAAACACATGTTGTTTTCTTGAAGGCACATACAGATGCGCTCCAAATTAATCCCACGGAAAGACACAGAATGCAATAATCAACCCTCTTTGCAGAAGAGATTTAGAATTTTATACTTTTCTAACCTCAAATAATAGATTACAATACACGCAACCAGCACTACGTCAAACTGGCAATTTTTTGCAATAAAAAAGGCGATAAATATTATGTAAACGTAAAACGCGACAAAAACCACTCTACTTCAGCGCGCGGCTTTAAGCTAGACAATGAAAATTTGCGAACGACGTCTTCTTCTTTGTCTGCGAGTTGCAACAACGTGCTGGGGCGCGCCGTTTTCAAGTTAATGCCCCGCGCGCCCATCGTCGACTTCGTCCTGCGACGCGACTATGAATTATGTATTACCACCACCACTAGTAAAAACTAGAATCTCCCTTGAAGAATTCGCAGAGTACGCTGGGAAAATAATATGAACCGAAGGGGAAGAAAACTAATACGAAAATGCTAAAATGCTAAAAGAAGTGTCGTCGTTGTGGCTGGATGCAAATTGTTAAGAATTGTAAAGAGGAAGGATTTCAAAAGAAGATTTTATTTTCGCAGAAAATATTAGTATTACATCTACCTGCATAAAGTATTAACTTTTAAACAATAAAAATGTTTAAAATGATTTATCTTTACACTGTTATGAAAAAATAAATCATTTTTCTTCTACGGTATTTTAATTACAATGTTTGTTATTTATTTAGCCAAAATATCATGTTTTAATATCAATGTTGTGAATCTCATTGATTTGACGCCATATTGAGCCGTAAATTAATTAACATTCAACTATAATATGCGTTGCAATTTGTGTGCGAGTGCAGCCTGCACGAAATCATTTGTTACACATTGTTTTTCATTTTGTTTTCAATTCGCTATCATTTCGCATTCTGGCTGACACCTACGAAGCACTCGTGTACATTTAGCAACATACATATTTGCGTTTGTGTGTAGTGTATGTTGAATGCAAATGCAAATAAACCAGACAATTAATTTTCCCAGCGAGTTTCATGCTAAAAGTCTCCATTTCAGTTTCAGTTTCAGTTCCAACTCGGTAATAAATTACGTAATTGTTTTTCAGACACGCAGTTGCTCTATTCATTTTTATTTGATTAAATTCAATCAACAACACACACGCCATAGTTAAATTTAAAGGTTATTTGCTGGCCTAAAATAAATTTCATTCTAATTACAATAGCAAATAATTAGTTGCATACGTTGGACAAATTGATTTCAGAAATTTTGTTTTTAGCTTATAATTAAAGTTGGAAGTTGGAAAACGCGAAGGGTCTGGGTGCCCGACCGATGCTAACTCTATTACACTCTCCATCCCGCCGTCGTCAATGGCATTGCTTTCCCCGTACCCCACCGGCGTTTTCTTTAGCGCAACCAAACTGCCGGGGTAGTTTGGGATGTTTCGCAGGACTTCACCGCGTCTGCGAAGGATCCGGTCGGGCTGCGCGCAGCACACCGTGACGCGGCGTCGCGCGATCACGACAATCACCTCCGCTCCGCCGCCACCAAAAACCCCCCAACTCCAAAAAAAGCCTCTAGCGAGGATAATCAATGTACAAACTCACTCAACTCAACTTACAAAACTCGAAACGATATCATTATTCAGCATACTATCGGTGTATCAGTATTCTTTAGGGTGTATCATAAAGAAAACAACAAAAACACCTCGAATGTTTTATTCATAAATCTATCTAAAAATAAATTTATTATTTTTGCGAGTATTCCGAAAACGAAAGCACGAAATTAATTAGCGAAACACAAAACAAAATGAATGCGTACGGCGTTCGTAATTATCGTAATCAGGCTGTGCGTAATTAAAATAAGATGGCTGTGTATAATTACCGCGCTTCGTTTTCTTATTGTCTTCGCTATCACCAAATAAGAAGGGTTGAAAGCATAAAAATTCAAGAGAGAAGGCGTTTTTCATCAAACCACAATAACATTAAAGTGCACAAACTCAATTAATTCAATTACCCTACAAATAGGCTACGAAATGGCCAACAGCCGTCTATAAAAATAAAATAAACTGTTACGGTAGATAACACAACGAATAAAACGTTGAATTTTTAAAACTTATTGATATCCATATAATATCAACTTTAATATTCAATTTATCGAGTATGGTGGATGCGCACGGGTTATAATTGGTATTTAAACAATTAGATGGCAATTATGAAGGGTTGGGTGGCGGTTAGCGTCCGAGATTTGGGTTTAGCGTCCAGGAGCTGGTTATAATCGGGTCGTGTCATCAAATTACCGCACTCCAAGTCAAACACAAGCCCGCAAACGGATAACTTACAGCCGGCCACCGGTCGCCAGCCGCCCCTCTGTGCAAACCAATCTCAAAGTGGGCGGTTCATCTGCAACGCAGATAACGTGAAATTGCACATGGAAAATTTTCTTTACACTATGCTAATATTTTGATTTAACACCGTGAAATCGATTTTTTTCACTCTCACTAGTTGACTGAAAGTTGAAGGGTGAAATGTCGGAGGGCGCGTCGTGTTCGACAAGATTCACTTAAGTGCAAGTTGTCATTAATCAATCGCTCATCGAATTATTTGCCGCTCGACGAGCGATCAATAACAAAATTTTCGCCCTTTCATCGTATACAACACTGTTATTTTTACCCGAACAAGAAAAAATGCGCAAAGTAAATTTAGCTGCGTGGATGAAAATCAATTCAACATTTGACAGCAGCTAGTTTTTCGGTATATTTATATGTTTATGCAAGATGGCAAGAAAACTTGGACAAGAAGGGTCCAAAATTGAATTTGTCCTAACTAGGTGCTAAATTTGATGGGATTCGATAACATTTACGCGCTAGTTTGGCGCGTTTGGCCCGCTTTTTGGGGCGCTTGCTTTTTCGTGAGCGCCGAAGCGGAAGTGCGACGCCGGCCGGCGGATCAAACATGACAGCGGCGAAAAGCGCAGGAAGCACGACAGGAAAACCCAAAAGACACGACCGGATACGCGCGCCGAACCAGACGGTCAAACATTTTTCATTCCGACGCGCAACTATTCGACACAGCATGTGCATGTGTCATGCGGAAACAAACGAAACTAACGCAATAATATCCGGAAACCGATGACTTACGTCTTAATAAATCAAAACATAAACAAAAATTAATTAACGTGCGACTTTAAAGCCGTTACGTTTTTGTGTTTTTTTGCTTTATATTCTTTTTTGTTGCAATATTTCTGATTATACGATTCGATAATCCAAAATGAAATCCAATATGGAGGGTGATGAAAGATCCCTTTCTTGACGATCGCCTTCAAACGATCTCTACTCAGACTACTCGGATGTGGGATTATCCTTTTTAGTCCCGATTCACTCCGAGTTTTGGTTTACTTGTCCGAGGGATGACCGTCACACCAGCGACGTTAATAAAGCTCTTTATCGCGGAAAGGGACGTCTCCCTGCCGCATTCAATACTTTAATATTGCTTAATATGTGCGATGCGTCAAAAGAAATGAGCGCTGATAAAAGCAAACGACGACAGATATAAAAATTTAGTCGATTCAGCCGTGATTAAAAGTTAATTAAACCGTAGACGCTACGATTACATAAAGTTCAAGTTTGTCTCAAAGACAAAAATGATTAAATATCCTGTACGTTGCAAAAAAATTGACTTACACATTATAAAAAGGATAATAAATGAAAGTTTACTCTTAAAAATTGCTGATATTAAATCCTAAGGTTACGAATGTCCTTATGTCAATAGTCGTTTGACTTGATTTGATGAACTCTGCTTGTTGACTCTGCCTTCCGTTTCCGTTTCCTGCATACACGTACTGCAGTCGAATGCAGATGTTTGCCCGTAGCTATGCAACCAGACGAACGCGCGGTGTGGTATGGCGTTGACGCACGGTTGCGTCTCGCACAGCGGCGCAACGAAAACGTTTTAATTGCTCGCGCGTTAATCAAATTAAGTGCGCCGCAGTTCGTGCAGACGTAACACACAACGTTGCAGATTGCGAGCGCAGCGCGTGAGGATTGTTCTTCGCATGTGTATGGCGTGCTGCTGCTCACGTTCGGCGTATGCAGATAACGAGTGGGAAGCAGCGCGCGGGCGGCTTGATAAGTCGATGAACACAGTGTTACCGGTTGTGAGTTGTGATTTCGTTAATTAGTAGTCTACTAATTAATACTAGACATGTACAATATATTATTTTTTTTTGTGCTTCGAATGCAGACTACTAATTATACGTGCTTGTTACATCAAGTTGTATATATTTTTGGTTAAATGTTTGTTCTGGGTGTGTGAAATCGTGTAAATTTCGTGATTTCGCTATCGCTTATCGCAGATTCCAGCCGAAAAAAACGCTCATAAAGCACTCGAAATTGTTCACATCGACGGAAGTAATGCAATGTAATATAATGTAAACACGA